AACTTGCAGTAATCAACTCAAAACTTGCTGAAAACTTTGCGAGTGCTGACTGACTTTTTACAGAATTTTTTTTGTTTTTTTTTGCAGAGCATGAATCACACAATCACTCTGGCACGCAGTTTTGACCCAATTAATCAGCTACTTCTAATTGTAAGAGTGTAATTTAGCATTGGGATTGCAATGCAGTAATTTGCATTGTATTTACTTATCTTTTGGGGATTCATGTGGAGAAGCTGCTTGTGAATAATCAAATCAGGGGGAGTCTATAGCGTCACTTTTTATTTTACTTTGAAAAGGTCCTGTTTGAATTATGTGCTTGGAATTATGCTACGGAAGGATGTGTTGATGAAGAGAAGGGTAATGTAGTGGAGAGGGAGGTCCGATTATGATGTGGAACATTTTAAAAGGTGCATATGAAAGTAAGAACAAAAAATGTAGCCATCTACTGCACCTTTAACAAACACACACATAAAAAAAACAATACTTTGGCGGATATAACAACAGTTTCCACTCTTTCATCCCCTCCTCTAAGAGACGCCATTTTTTCCCACCTCAGCAGCATTCTCTTTGGCACTACCAATTGTGTTTGACAGTGGAATCACATCTTAGATCATAGATAAAACGTCAGCCTGCGGGACAGGGAGTAGGCAAAGGATGACAAGAATGATTTTGACTCAGGGCTATTCCAAAAGCTTTTATTTCCCACCAGTACAGCTCGCACTGTCATCCAGGGGCGGCATGTGAAGTCATGTCGAGGCTGCTGGGAACGATGACGACTGGCATGTGTAGACCGTGACTACTGTGCTCATGCCCTTGTCCCAAAACACAGACTGAGTTTTGGAGCACAAACACACTGTAATCTGGATGTCCTGCACCGCCAGCCCAGGCTCACTCCCAATTGGTCAGAAACTGTAGCCTGTTCAGTTGCATAACGCTTACCACATAAAAGTTGTAGGTAACCTTTAAGAGTGAAATTTTGGACAGTCTCCTCTGGCTTGTTGTTTTTAACTTGGCGATGGGCTCACATTATATTCTGTATAGTTTGTCTGGGATGGCAGTTTGGTGGTGATGGATGAGCCAAACAAAAACCAGCGTCTCACTGAAGAGCCCGGGGTTTGATTACCATGCAGAACAAATAATCAATGTAGACGTCTTTAAAAAGTTTAATTCTTTCTGGTCACATATGAACCTCAGTTACATCATCTAGTTTATGTATTGTTGTACATATTAAGAACCAAACCATGATGTTTTTAATTAATCAAAAAAAGCGGTGCTTTAACAAAAACTAAAGCTGCAATGAGAAACAAACAGTTTTTTAAGATTCATAATTAGTTGTTTTTTAGTCGAGTGAAAGGTTTTGCTTGTTCTTGTCATTTCTATCTATCTAAGTCTTGATGATGTCTGAAGCAGTTTGAAATTGGGAAATTGTAATTATCACAAAATTTCAATATCAAATAGACTAAAATAATCATCCGTTCATAGTGAAACTAATTTTGCAGATAAATCGTAGTCCTAGAATGTGTTTCATTAATAATGTTCCCCCATTCCTGCTAATGGTTGTTGCATATCTTTATGCCTAATAGTGTGAAAGTTTGTCAGTAAGCTTTTTTATGTAATCTAACCAGGTGTTACTTTGTTATTATCACTTACTCTGACTACTTTGTTTTGAATTTCAAACTAGACTCTGCATATTGACTTGGCCTAAGAGCCTTGCATGTTTCAAATTAAAGCTAGTGTTACCTTGATCTTCACTTTTTGAAGCATTGGGCCAGATACCAAGCTGCCGTATTTGATTATTTTGTTATGAGAACGTGTATGCACTGCTAAATAAATCCTCCAGAAATACAAGGAAATGAAAATGTGCTGAATGATACATTTTTCCTTATTTCCCCTTTTCTGCCACAAAACGAGTGTCAGGAGAAGAAGGGAAGGTTGAAGGGGGGGCTGGATGGTGGTGGTGGGGTGCACTGCAGTAGAGCATGGAACAATGAGCGCCCTCTGGCATCAACCTCTGGACAGCCCAAGCTGCTCACCAAAGACACTGAACTCACCCACAATGAGGTGCTGCAGAGGGAAGGGAGGCTTTAGAGAGTTCAATTTCCAACACAATTGGCCGTATTCTACTCCTTTAAATGCCAGGGAGATGGTGTGCAGCGTGCGCCTTTGTGAGGGGCTTTGCTTACAGCCAGTGTCCTCTAACAGGAGAGACAGGAAGAGAAAGACGACAGAAACAGAAAGACAGGCTATGTGCGGAGATGGCGTGTGGACAGAAATAGTGGGACTGTGGGAGAAGAAAAGGGAAGAAAGAGTGCGACTGAATGACTGGGAGAGATAGAGAGTTAAAAAAAAAAGTACAGAAAAGATGAGAAGGGTAGAGAATGTCTCCTCTTGCTTTTCGTTTGACCGCCTCGTAGGGACCGTCTGAAGGACAATGCTGCTACTAGCGGAGTGTGACGTTTGTCCTCTATCCAATTCACCACAGCCCCAAAGAAAACACACTCACAATCAAGCTCCCATCATGCAGCTAATACACAATATACTCTTCCAACGTCAATACCATACAATATAGTGAGTTACAATACAGACTCTGCATAAAAAAAAAAAAGAAATATAGAGGCAGAAAGATAACATTCAAATGAGCTGATGTGAAGGCATTATGTGCTACAGAAAGTACAACAACAGATCACCTTTAACTGCTGTGAATGACACTGCGCCTTCTATTCTAAAGGAATCATTTAGCTTTGTATACAACTGCAAAATATACCATAGTTATGGAATCTCTCTCTCTGTCTGTGTATTTAATATGCTTGTAGAAGTTTATGTATTTTTTATTTTTTTCCCTCAAACAGACTCCAGTAAATATAAACACGCATCCTTCAGGGACATTTGCCTCATTTTTTGCTTGTTTGCCTCGGTAGGAAGTAGCGTCTTAGGCCTTTAGTTTGTGAAAGAGTCGGCTGCTGTGATGCTTTAGGGTTTGGGTCGGTGCAGATTTAAAATGTGGTTTTAAGGCACTAGACATTGCACTTGTGTGGTAGAGTGTGTCTGTGTTGGAGGCATGACAGCATTCAAGATTAACAAGAACAAAGAGGAGAAATGGCATTAGTTGTTAGAAATGTGCTCCTTCCCGCACAGCTCTACAAAGCATTAAAGCAGTGAGAGAACTGTTATTTCCAGCAGTTGCAATTACAGAGTAGCCACAGTGGCTAACATTGCATTGTGTAATACTCGGATTGTTAAATAAAGAATGTGTTATTTTTACCCTTTGCACGGCTGCAGAGAAATCGCGGATTATTTTTTCATGAATCAATCTGTAAGATAAAAATGAACACAGGTGGGAAATTGATTTGGACTGCTGGCTGCCAGATGCCCATCACTGGATCCTGCAGGCCCAGGCACTGGTTTCACCGATAATGTAATCAATGCCCTTTTCTATGTGGTCACGGGGCAGCTGAGCCATTAATATTACACAATCACACCAATGGCGCTGATGAATTATTCACATTTTCATATGGGTCTGTAATATTGCATGCGATTCATCCGGAAGAGCTGTTGTGTTTTTAAGATGAAAGCTGTAAATATCTACCGCTTAGTGGAACTAAATATCAAAATGCAAGATAGAGGAAATAGCAAATCAGGAGGAAGTGCACCTGTCCCCTTCTTTGGCGTCACAGTCTATATAAATACGTTGGCTGTCATCAGGAAAATTTGCCAAGGAGGCTGTTTCTCCATCATTGTCTTCATTTGAAGGGCATTTTGCTGCCTAAAGGCAAACGCCGAACACACTGCCCGAGCGTGGCGCCCATCGTCTTTCGCATAGGGCTGGCAGGGCATCAGACAGGAGAGAGAGAGAGAGGGAGAGAGCAGTGAAAAAGAAGAGAATGAGAGAGAGAGAGAAAGAGAAAGGGAGAGAAAAGAATCCTTCGTCTCAAAGCAGACCTCACACTGGGTTCTGTCACTACAGATCAAAATCCCCTCAAAGCCAGAGATCACTTCCACTACAGTTCACATGTTCCACACTTAGAAACTGTTTACCCGACTCAAAGAGTTTCCTCTGCACACACACTCTTGCACGCACACACACACACACACACTCAAAGAGATACAGTAGAAGAAGAAAGAGACGTTTTTGCAGAAAACAAATCCAAGCCAACTGCACTTAAAGATTTATACAGGTTGAGATTCGCTCACTGCAAACAAATGTTTCAATCAATATGGCAAAACAGCGCTCAGACCAGTTCAGGGAGATGCTGCGCCGCCAGCTCTGCCTACAAGTGAGCTGACAAACAGAGAAGTATCTGCTCCTATTTCTTGTGGAAATACCTGTCAGTGCCTGTCGACTCCTCACAGTGATACGCACACGCACGCAGCCAGGGACAGTCTGTCTCCTGAAAGTTGCACTAACGCACATACGTGACGATTCATAGCCAATAACAGCCGACGTGAAGGGCTCCGGGGTGAGTGACAAGCATATATGTGCTTCTGGTTAAACCTTGTCTTTAAAAAAAAAAAATACACAACACACGGACGGCATTGTGGTGCAGGGGAGGAAAACCTGTCTTTGGAAAGTCCTCTGCTTGAGAGAGAAACGTCCCCCTCATCGAAAAGATAAGGAGCCTGATGAGAGATAGCGATAAAGTCAGTGCTTCTCCTGGGCCTTATCTGATGCTGTTATCTGACTGCACAGCACCCACCATCTCGCAATCTTTACACCCTTTAAGCACCCCTCTGTAGCACCCACACCCGCATCAACACACACACACACACACACACACACACACACACACATCATCCGAGTCTCAAACATTCTAAACACCGTACCAGCTTATTGATTACTTTGACACGCTCCCATTGTTGAACAGACGGCACACCTAATATCACCAAAGATTGGAACTGTTCTGTGTTATCTCATGGGGAAAAGGACATAAAATGACTATTTTCTCACCTTTCAGAAAGAAACAAAATGTGAGGAAAGAGAGGAGACGCAGCGGTGCACTTACCTCTATGTCTGTTAGTCGTCTTATCAAACATAAGCATGGCATCATCAACCTGGAAGACACAAGTAGAAAAGCAGCGACATTAGCTTAATCTCTTCAGCAAGTAGCTCACGTCATCCTCTTTCCCCCCATTGAATCACATCTCATTCTGCCCGTTGTAATTACTCTTAGAATATATATTCCCGCACTTATTCCTTTCCAAGCACCTCTCTCCTTCATAATCAGTGTGCGGTCGCAGGATTAGTGTCAGGTTAGAATTTATTTTTTTTGTCTGTAGCTCGTAATTTTTGGGATGATACAGGAATTCAAGTGATTTTCATCCTGCAAAGATGTAAAAGAGTAAAAAAAAAAAGAAAAAGTGGGCTGGAAAATTAACTGCAATGACAAGCAGTGAAAGAAATGAAGAACCGTGCAGACAATATGTTTATTTTGATGAACACCTTCGTCCGATCTTGGGGAGGGTGACAGATAGACACATTACACTAAGCGAGTGTGAGACAAATGGGATGCTTCCTCATCTCGCAGCCACAGCGGCAGCAGCATCCACCATAATATCATCCCTCATCATGTCCAATAAAGCCACACACAGGCAGACAACAACAACAACAACAAAAAAAAAAAAAATCCTCGCACATCTCTGAAACCTGGGATCTCTAGGCACACGCTGCTTTCGATAACTCTGAAGAAATGCTTTAAAAAAAAAACAGGCTGAGGCATGCTCATTTACCCCGGGATTTTGTCTGGGGAGAAAAAAAGAAAGAAGGGGGGGAAGACAGCAGCAAATAGAGAACATACTGCACCGTCCCCTCCCTGGTTATGGTCTCTAGGTAAGTGTTACAGTGTACCGAGGAGGCTTGATGCTGTTCAGGGGGAAAAGATGTGCACACAAGCATCCGTCTGTGAATGTTTTTTTTTTTTTCTTTCAGGGGAGGGTGACAAAGCGGGGAGATGGGGAAGAGACAAGAATAGGGGTCTCACTCGAGCTGAACCGTCTGATTGGATAAAGAGAAGAGCCTGGCAGCCAGGCAGACTAGTTCTGGCACACTGTTCATGCCACCCTCTTGCCACACAATTGGCACACAAGACGTTGGCACAGCTTGTGCGGCCCGGTTACTCACTGTACTGCTCACAGGCCACATGCGGCTACCAGGCACTTTATTTGCACCTCCCCAAAATACTTCCAAATTGCCAAATTTAGCTGGAGATAATTATTTGAGTTTAAATAACCTATAAAGATGGCATTCATATCTTTATTCAACAGTTATTTCTGACAGAGTATTCTGATTGGACAAGAGACATTCCATAAGTGCTGAAGTAGAGTACAGCGTCACTGGGACTTTGAGTGCTTTGAGACACAGTGAGTGTCTTAACATGGACTTGAGTATCCCAGGTTTTGATCAAGTTTTTTGAGTTTCCCAATTTTTGTTGGTAGATACACCATGTCTTCAATGCGATGGTTAGCATTTCATAGTGCGAAGCCCGCAATAAGCCACAGTGGTCTAATTTTTCTCCGATTTCATTACTGTCTTAGTTTGAGTTGTAAAAAGATTAACATCGCAGGCGAACAAATAAGACGCAGTAATGATAAACCTGGATACTAGTATGCATCATGTATAACAAGAAAATGTTTTGGTTGCTTGACGATGGCGGAGCAAAACATTACAGTCTGTTTTTCTATATGCTGGTTCTAGAACTGTTCAAAAAAGCAATGTGACACTCCAGGTCGAGATGTTTTACCGGATATCAGCGATGCTGTGATTATCTTCTGCACTAAGCCTGAGGCCACGTACTGAATCACAGCAGGGCTGATATTCAGTCCAGCATCACTCCCCTCTCGTGTTTGAAAACCTCTCAAGCCTCTCAAGCTAAGCATTCCTACATTTGTCCCATAAACACTTTGGATGTTAAACCATGTGTCAGAAAACTCACTGATTTTGTGACACAATTTCAATTCTTTCATCAGTCTTAATAGCGTATTGACCAACACAACCTTTTAGGTTATTCCAAGAAATTGCAGACTGTAGCGCTGGTTGTTGAGTGTTCAGGGCGCGTGCCCCATATACGGAGGCCGTAGTCCCTGAAGCGGGCAGCCCGGGTCCCACATGTCATTCCCAACTCTCTCTGTCCCTGCTTCCCCTCTCTATCCACTGTCCTATCTCTACAATAAAGTCATAAACAGCCCCAAAATAAATTGAAAAAAAGAAAAGACAGAAATTTCAGGCTATTTGAGCTTTATAATTAGAAATCTGTTGTATAAATGTATATTTTATGAATACATTTGTAACATCTGTGGTGCTACATCTTTTGTACAACCACGAACAAAGTCAGTAATATCCCCAAACTGTTTCCTCTGTAGACATATCACAGAAAAGAAGCAGTACAAATAATGACATTTGCTCCACTTCTGAAAAAAAATAAATGCTATCTGACGATAGTGTGCTGGGAAAACATATAAAAGTAATGCACAAACAAACGTGTGCCAACGAGCAATATCACCTGAAGCGACAGTTTTATGAAGAGAAATATAAAGTCAGGTAACCTCACCAGTGATTCATCATGCCAGGCGATCTAATGAAAATCACATTAAAGTGAAAGGAAGTGGGATGGCTAGAATTTGTAGCTGTGATTCAATTGAACTAAAAAACACAGAGAAACTTCTGGTAAGCACAGCAACTCTATTATAACATGAAGTCCCTGGCCAGATAATTAAAGACTTCTGGAATCCAATATGAGGGAAAACATATCCCTCAGAATGAGTTTGTCATGTCCACACATGTGAGAGTGAAAAAGCGCCACTGCAGAGCGACATGTTTACCATCTATGGTAAGCTTTTAATTAAACAAGCTTGGCTTTAATTTACATTGGAGTGTGAAATGTATGGCATTTGACCACATCATTTAATATCAGCTATTGAAACAGCAGAAAGATCAGCTTTTTCATGCATCAGTAGAAACAAAAAACCAAAGGGCCATCTGAGAATATTGGCCCTCTTAAAAGACAACTATTATGACAGATATTGATTAGTACAGCGTATTCTCTGAGAGTCTGTGCTGAGATAAAACAGAAGGAATCAAAACAAACTAGGGGTGTGAATCTCCTTTTACATGACAATCTGTTTCCTGATTCATAAGCTGTGAATCAAATTGAATATGAAATCCAGAGGCTTTTTTTTTTTTTACTTAATGGAACTGGTAAAAGAGAATATCATATCCAAGTGTTTGTTACTTAAACTAGATTCTCAACAGTAGACCTACTGTGTAAACAAGTGTTCTGATATGATTATTATTATTATGAACTGTAGTCTTTATGACAAAACCAGGCCCACAGGCGTCTCACTTTGACTCTTAGGTGGGGAAAAAATATGAAATATGTGTTTTTACTAGCACAGAAATCTCAGCTGATCCGTACATCTTACTTGATGGGCTTTACATAATCCTGATAACACTTCAAATAATAAATCCCCTCCAAGAGGCACACACTGAAAACAACAATACAATTAAAGGAGATGACGAGAACTCTACAACAGAGCTCTGTGTGTCTGCTCAGATAGGAGAGCAATGCTGCTGTGATAAAATATTAACAATGAAACATTACTATAATGGAAAGGGAAAGGGAAAAGGCCAATGTGAAAGTCTCGCGAGATTGAAGTAAGGGATCGCAGTAATAAGTTCAATTTAAACAGCAATTACTCCAGATGGTCTTAACCCTAACCCAGAACAATCTACAAGCAGTGAAGCCTCAGTAGACCAGTTTACTGCTTTATAATGTGGCTGTTGACCGGTTAGCGTTTCAGGTAAGGACTCCTTCAGTCTTCATTGTTTAAGGTTTCAAGAGAAAATGTATCCTTGGATGTTTCTACCTCTCCAACACCGTCAGACTTAAGAATTATTTCAGGTAAAAAAAACAACAACTAAATAAAGCAGTTTAATTAACACACCTAACAAGAGGGGTTCTAAGGGCTACAACCTGTGATGCCCCTACATTAGGATAATTTGTCTACTAAATCTGGATAAAATCCGGATGGTGATGTGACTACAGCAAGAAAGAAGTCCACGGAAAATTATTTCATGCCGAGCCAACATCAACTTCTTCTTCTTCTTCTGATTCAGTTCGAATTAGTTTAAGTATGTTGCTTTAATTACTACAACGTTTGTTGTTGCTGTCTAGTTAAACAAATGAATTCCACATAAAATCTGACTGGGTGGAACTCTAACAGCGGACCCAGTGTCCTGAGCCATCAACCAGGCCGAGCCCTTCATGCAACATGACATTCAAATATGTGTGCTGTGATATTGATATTGTTGCTGCTGTAAAGCCATTTACAGCCTGAGAGCAGAGAGGCTGGTACTGTGTAAAATGAAGTGAGCTCTATTAAAGGAAGTGTATTATATGAATGTGTGAACCGTGTTGTTGTGACATTATTAGAGGAGGACCATCCTGTCAGCGAGACCCATACAACAAAGAACACAGATTCACAGTGAAGCACTGATGGGCACTTTAACAAAGAATGTGCACATGATGTGAGAGTCACACTCCAGCAGGTCATACAATACACTCCCCCCTTCTCTCTCTCACTATCTATCTCTCTCTCAGTCTCTCTCTCTCTCTCTGCCACTTGCAGAGTCTATAGAACCATCTCCCGTGCTTCAGGGCTTTTCAATGTAGTTATTCAAGCAGAACACAACTGTGTGCCTCCATCTGATAGAAGGTTAAGGACCTCTTCACTGCTCACAAAAAAGCCCGCCACACAGAGGTGAGGCCGGGCTCACCTCAGGGAAGAAATCTTTCTCTGTCCTCCTCCTCCTCCTCCTCTTTCACTCTTCCTTTTCTCCTGGCTTACTGAAAAGAAAGGTTCAAAGGATAATGGCTGTCTTATCACTATGTAAAAAGGGGAATGGGAACTTCAGTGAAGTGCCTGGCCTTTTGTGACAATGAAGAAAAGAGCAAAAGTCTATTTCACTGGCGTGTATGCACTGGAACAGTCCATGACCACTTAAAAAAAAAAAGGAGGCTGCTGGGAGACAGTAAGTCTGGGCAGCTCTTTAACTAAAG